GTCGGGTGGTATGTGCGGGTTTCGCGCAGAGACTCGAAGCAGGGGGCGTGGGTGAATATACTAAACAGCTACGTCATCTAGATCCTTTGGCAGTTGATTAGGCCAATTAAGGGAGAGGAAAAGAGTGATGGCTTGAAAGGAGGAAAGCAAGAAAAAAGTACAGGCAAGAAGGAAAATAAAAGCAAGAAAAAAGTGCTAGCAAGAAAGAAACTAAAGAAAGAAAAAAGTACAAACAATAAAGAAAGTAAAAGCATGAAATCAAGCGAAGAACACGCCATAAGTAAAGGACATCCCACCCATAAAGCTGATGTTTAGGTAAAGAAAGCTGAAAGCCAATAAGACGAAACTGATGCTCAGATTTAAGCTCTTAGCTTTACCTAAGCATCAGGTTTCCCTTATTCGCTTCAGCTTTCTTCACCTAAGCATCAGATTTATATGTAGGGTGACCCTATTGGTATCAGGTTCTTCGTCTGCTTTTCTTGATTTTACATTCTTTCTTGCTTGCGCTTTTTTCTTCCTTTCACTTTTTTTCTTGCTGGTACTTTTTTCTTGCTTTGCTCATTTCAAGCCATCACCTCCTCCGCCCTCTCTTACATGGCCTAGGCAACAGTCAAAGAATCTACGTCGCGTAGCCATTCAACGTACCCAGCTAACCCGCCCCCCAGCCACGAATCCCCGCTGCGAAACCCGCACACATCGTCCCCCTTCCCCCCTCATCCCCATCACAATCCCCTCCCCGTGTCTCGAGCCCGACGCCCAAAAGTGTGTTCATGCATTGCCAACTCTCTCCCCCCTCCCCTCTCCCTTCTGTGCCCTCTACAGTGTACATCCCTCCGAAGCCTTTGCCATACCTCGTGCATCCGCGACAAAATCAGCAACATAAGTCCTGCTTCCTTCCACTCATCACCCCTCTCCCCTCTCCCTTACGCGGCCAATTGACGTTTCCACCCAACTACTCCTTCTCCCATGCCCCCGAGCCCACGGCTACCACCCTCGTACACAGCCCCTCTAACCTGCCTCTGCCCCCACCGCTCTCCTCCCGATCCCCCGTGTCCCCTCCCCTTCCCGCCCCCTCCCCTCCCTCTCATCACCTGCTACTGCACAGTCTGTGGGTAAATTCGCAAACCGTGCAGTTACCGCGGCGAGCCGGGGCCAGCCGAGCTTTAGTAATTGCCGACAATTTGCGTTTTTGCTGATGTAGCTGCGTTACAGCACTGATATAGCGCTGCACTGCAAAAACGCGTAATAATGGAATTCAGAGACATTAGGCTTTTCACTAGCTCTTTCGTTGAAGAGATCATAACGAATTTTGCGTGCATAATGTC